CACAGACACAAATATATAGTATATTACGGAATAGAACACTCAAAATACATGTCCATGTCGTTGTAGCACATCTCTGACCTACATTTAAAACATGGCTTCTGGATTAATACAAAATAGCAGGGGGGATTTCAAACGGAACGAAATGATACGGAGGTTGTTTGTATTCCGCTTGTGAAACATTACATGTAATCCATTTTTGTATTAACCGGAAAAATCATGGCAAATGCTGTCTGCTTCGCTTCGAATGAGGAAAAACTCATTATTTATGTCTTTGACACGAAATTTTTCTCATATAATCATGGATTTATGGAAAAGATTATTTTTTGGACCCTTTTGATCATTTAAATGTATGTAAACACGATATACTCTTTCTTAATCCGAACTTTGAAAATGTGATCGTCAGCATCGGGAAAATCAGCTATGGGCAGTTAGAGGTTATGCGGCGCCTGTCAAAAGTTTTTCGCCGTGTAAAACCTCTAACATTGTTGGAGTACATCCCACAGTGCGCTAACTCACGGTATATGTGACTGTGTGACTAGAGACTATCGCATGGTATGCCGTTCTCACGTGCACTCACACATGCATTTCATAGGTATCTTGTTATTTTACAAAACATTATTTTCACAGAGTAAGTAGACTACATTTGTAAACACGATTTAATCGACAGAGCGAAACTCCCTCAGCTTATGAACTCGTGTAAGCACGTGATATGCACATATGAGGTTGGTACGTCCGCATTCCATGTGTTTCCTATATGACCTTCTTGAGGTCGTCTGGTCTCATGTCACTACCTTCCCGTGAGTCTGTTTAAGTCAATGAATTGGAAAGCTTTATTCCTGAAGTACGTGTGATTATACATTTCCCGGTAAAATCTCGATATCGGGTGTTGACATATCATCGGCACGGACGTGTACTATTGTTTATCAGGGGCATGTTCGTTTATGTGGAACAACCGGTTTGACCGCTTATAAATGTAACAATTTCGGGTATAAATCCTGGCGGACCTGCAAATGTGTATGCAAGCCTTGCAAATCTTTCTCAAGGCTCGCCTGAAAGCAGCATCAGTTTACTAGGTCCTTCCTTATTCAATAAACGAACAACAGTGGTCCGATCGGTTTGACCGTTTAAACGCAAACGGCCCATGTGTTATTATAATTTGCACTACGATATTGAATGCCCGAAACGCAATACGGAAATGACGACACGGTGTACATGCAAATTTCCATCAAGATAATTGAGTACGAGCTGCACTTTTTCCGGAAGTACGTCACGAAAATGGACGCTGATGACGATGTGTGTAGCAACCTTAAGGTTAATCAATGAAAAAAAACTTCTCTGTATGTCCTTCATCAAATATAATATTAAGGAGGCTCCACCCTTTCGCAATTAGCCAGCAGAATGCAATGTCTTTGTATCATAAGCTTTATTTCTGAAGTACGTGTGACTACACATTTCCAAGTTAAGTCTCGATATCGGGTGTTAACATATCATCGTCACGCACGTGTACTATTGTTTACCCGGTGTTACTCTAATTTACACCACGGTAATGGAATGCCCGATACGCAATACGAAAATGACGACACGAAAATACGTCAAGAAAAGCATGTGTATTACGAAGGGTGGAAAGTCCTTAAATGTACGGTACACAAACAATGGCCTTATGAGTGGTGAACTTCTTTGTATTTATACTCTGTTTGTATACTCTGTTTGTATACTCATGTTTGAAGTCTCGTGTTTGAAGTCTCGTGTTTCCTTTTTGTTACACACGTAAGTAGAGTGCAGTCCGAAGTTAAAATAAAATGTTGAACTCATGCTTCTAGTGTCTGTCTTCATATCCGGACGCTAACAACGGTAATTTGCCAATCCATCTATCCTAGCAAAATCAACGATAACGTGTTTGTTATTATGATTTACAAATGTATCAATACCTAATAGCATTGTGTAAATATGACCCAAAAATACCCGCGATAAGTCTGTCCTTATATCCTACTAATATCTAAGACAATAGCGTGTCTGTCCTTATGTCCTAGCAATATCAACGATAATAATGAGTATCTGTCCTTTTGTCCGAACAATGCAAAACAAAATATAGTGTCAGCCCGTATGTTCTTACAAAATGTGTAATAGTATTGGGTGTATCACTTTATGTTTTAACGATACCAACGATAACAGCGTCTGTCTTTATGTCCTAACAATTCCAGCGACGATAGCGTGTCTGTCTCTATGTCCTAATAATACCAACGATATTAGGATGTCTGTCCGCATGTTCTAAAAATAACAACGATATTAGGATGTCTGTCCGCATGTTCTAAAAATAACAACGATATTAGGATGTCTGTCCGCATGTTCTGATAGTACCAACGATAATAGCGTATCGGTCCTTATATCTTAACATCATCTTCACTGATAGCATTGATCTGCCGTTATGTCTTAGCAATACCAACAATACTGTATGGCCTATAGTTCATGGCTGTCCGATTATTTTTTTCGGCGCACCTCTCTCATAACGATATTAAATTTACGATATCACTATGGATATCATTTAACATGATAAATGTTAGTTTATATGAATCTTGTTTGATTTTTTAATTTTGGTATTGTTTGTTAACTTTATGTATGAATATAAAATGTGCTATAAGTATGTTGTTAAATTTCATATGATTGTATAACAAAACCTTAAAATTCCAAAAAAATATTTATATTCAGTATTTTCAGTATCATTTATTTGGTTTATTTGGTCTAAATTGACTCGGAAACAATAGCAATCCCGACGTAATAAAGCAGGATTTGGGGCATTATTTGAATATAAGGAATGGATGGTGAGATATTATATATAATTTAGACTAAATTAGATACTTACAAAATATTATTCGAACGAATGAGGAAAAAAGATTGAATGATGCTTTGAAAAACATGAGAGAAGAAATGAAAGAGAAGAGTGATTAATACATAACAGTGCTTTCATCTATAAATGAACAGAATATTAAAACTTACAAGAAAAAGTATTCCCATTAACCGCGAGGAAATGCAGTTTGGGGGGGGGGGGGGGGGGAGCCAATGTCTATCGTTCAACGGGAGGTAACTCTTCATTTTTGATGGAATTTTAAAAGATCTGAGAACAAATAACAGGATGTATTTGGAACTGTTTTAACATGTGGTATAATATTTGATGTGATCATACGATTTGTTTAGGACAGCTCATGAATTAGTTAGATAACGTTAATTTGTCTTTATTTACAAATTAAAATCGATCAGATGTATCTCAAAATCGATATCTTTTATGTATTTCATATTTTGTTCAAGTTCCGTGATAACATAAAATGGTGAAAACAGTTTTAAACCTCTAGCTCAAATAATCCGAAATAAATAAATATCTCCTTTTGATTTCGTTTATTTTTAAGATGGATTTTTTTTAATTAGTCAGTTTCAGACTACATCTCAAAAAGAAAACTTTATTATCAATGTTAAAATACTATTTATTGACAACTCAGCTAGCGTTCATAGTATAAATCAATGAAGCCAAGGGAATGAAGTACGCGGTGGTACCGTGACATCAATCGATACCGAGAGTTATCTCCCGTATAACGCGAAACTGGCCCGTAGTTCT